TTTTTCTAAAATGTTTGGATTTGAACAGTATAGTAAGAAGGATGTGACCGTGCGTCAAGTTTTGACTTCATAGAAAACAAATGCTATTTAACTTCCATTATCTACTGCATGATTACTGACTCCCTCAATTTGTTTCATTTTTTAAGGTTATTGCTTTTTGTGACGTAGATATCAAGAAGATCAGGAAAGGTGTTTATAACTACGAAGAAAGTCAAGTGAGTCTGGCACATATCTGAGTTTTTGACAAAATTATTAAAACAACTGAATGAAACAGAAATTTAGTCTGGGCTTCCATCGACTTTTCACATTACTTCTAGATTTTGTTACAAAAAATGATGTCCATAAAATAGTAAAATGAATAAATATTTGGTAATCAATGTCCTAAATAACTGTTCATAATAGTTGGACATCCTGGGCAGTGGTTGTTTTTTAGTAGCCTATGAAAATCTTATTATAAAATGAAACTAGTCAAACAAGAACACACATACTGGTAACAAGTTCAAAATAAAAACACTTAAAGATTCCTAAACAGAACTTGTATACAATATAAAGCTGTGTTCTCACTGTGGGAAAAATACTCCGTCTTTTGTTAAATTACTGTGCAATACTTTATTTTCACGTGGAATTATTTTTTGCTGCAGGAATGATTCAGTGAAAATAAAATCCAGCCAACATACCCTTTTTTCAATATTTTACATTCAACTTCTCAGAAATCAGTGAAAATATATTCCATGCAAATCATGTTCGTAAAATGTTGTTCAAAACAATGAATAATTATAAGATTTTAATTAAATTATTATAATTAAATTGCTGCCACTCTCAAAAATGTTCATTGTATTTAGAGTGGGTAATTATATGAATAAAGACACATCACTTACCATCATTAATTGTATTGGCATCTTGCATAATCTGCACTGAACTCCTCTGTTGCTAGGAGACTCCAAAACCACAGATTCCTATCCTCCATTTCAGTGACGCCAAGCCACCATTCATCATATGTGTTAAATTGGTGAGTTTTAGTCCTTCAATCTTATATTTATCATTCATAGTTTTATGAATTTAATATTGATTAACAAATCAAGGTATGTTTCTTGTAAGTTAAATTGTAATGATGGCATCCTTTCATATCCAATGATGAAAAATGTGTCAAATTTTGTTCAGGTGGGACATGATTTTAGTAACCCTTTGTGGTTATGTTCTTCTCACATAATCTGCCATTTTGTTTTTGCCAGTTGTCAACAGCGCCCTCTATGGATGTTTGACGATGCTATTCCTTAACTGATCTGTTTATTTCAACAGGATTTGACTGGAGGTGGTTTTGAATCAAATCTCTCATCGATGAATTTGAAAGAAGGAATTGACTATTATCACTTCGGGTGAAATGAACAATTGCATTTGGTTGCCATAGAATCAAGATTTCAAGACATGTAGTTTCTATCTGTATCGCATCTTCAATGTGCTGAGGTAGCGACTCAAGTTTTTAGGTTTTGAGAATAAATTGCCACCAAAATACAAGGACGTTATTCATTGAAATGCTGCTGTGCCTTCACATGAACACCCTCCCTCCTAAACTGCAACCTGTGTACAGTATGACTGGTTTGGAAAAACTGTCACATCTAACACAAGTGAAACTCACACAGGCAATCTGCAACTGTGGTCAAAGTCGATACATTAGAAAATAGAATACCGGAACTACAAATGGTATATATACATTGTATGTATATCAGAAACAAAAAAATCTAACTGCAATATTTGAATAAAATATTTCGCACTCATACATTGGCTACTATCATTTACTATCACTTTACGCTAATGCTTGTCACCTCTATGTGTAAGAGCTTTGTAGATCTTAAAGTTCAATTGCAGAATTACCATGAGATATTTCACATTTCACAACATATATGTATGTGTGTCCATATATGGCATGACAGTAGAAGGGTGGGGATAATAATAAATTCAAACCTCACACATAAATCAAATATATTGGACCAACCCACATGCAGTTTTGTCACCAACAAATCCAAGATGACTGACTGCTGATCATCTTGCTTATACAAATGCCAGGGTCAATCAAGTTAAAACATCACATCTACATTCCACATCAGGTTATTTGTTTTAGAAATAGACTTACTCATTAACTGATTGTATCCAAACTTTGTCCATACAATGAATATCATGGACCTGGAGGCATGTAATTGTACCTCCTGATTGAATTCCTAATTCCCTGACTGGCTACCATATTGTTTTATAGAATCTTGGACCCGACTCTATGGTCCATGATTAGAATGCTTTTCAATAGCCGTAATTTTGACCTGTCTTCATGTAACTAATGTTGACAGTCACTAAAAAACAGAACATTATTGACAAAGACTTGTTTCATTTTATTTCTGGTAAAAATCATCATACACTTGCATCCAACGATTTTTAATTAGTATAAATTATGAGCGTTCATAAAATATATAGTTTGATATGGTTTAAAACAATTTTTCTATAAAAAAATAATTAGTGTGAATTTTAGTTTCTAAAAACCTCCAGTACATACTGAATTAATATCTGTCTTACTGCCATGTACCAGTCTTAATGTGATCAGGTATGCAGATGAAGATAAGGTTGGTCACCTTTTAATCACATGTTGAAATGCCTGAAATTCGATTACACATAATAGATCTATAGTAAATGAACTGCTAAAGCATAATTGCATATTTATAAGCAGTGAAATGCCTAGTAAGATAAATCTCATGCCATACTATTCCTTCACCTTTAACCTATGACGTCACTATAGCTACGCGTTCGAGAGATAACAGTAGATTATATCGAAGTGAATGCATATCGTATATTGTATTAATGAATAAATTAATCACAAATTCAATTACACTATTGTGTAGGATTTATACACCAGTGAATGGATTGTGGAATATTTTTAGAATTTTGTAGTCATCGATCTGTTCCAGCAGTGTAGAGTAACAAAATTGGGACAGATTACACCAAATGAATATGCGAACATTATAATAACATGAATGAAATATACAAAAGCAAATAGCGTACGAATATGAAAGTAACATTGTGTGGGATATGAAGCTATTTCACCGTGTGTATTGCGGATAGCTACACTCGCTGTAACCATATTTCGATTTGCTCTGTCGTTTGTTTTAACGTATCTTTACAATTATTGATTCATATAATATGTATTTGTGGAGCATCGGCATTTACACGTTATTTGATCTTGCGCACGTGACAACTAGTCATTACGTTTGTATGTCTTCAATAGTAAAACCAATAGTAAAAGCATTCTAATATTGACAAATGGTTGGCTTTCACTGAAATACATTCATCATTTCTTCGAAATATAGCCTGGTAACCCTGAACTATACATTTGCATTTGCGTGTTTTAAAGTCTCGCTTATTCTCATTTATTGTGAACGCTATATCATTCAATAGCGTTTTTCTATAAATCACGCCCTCTCGCGGCTAAGTGTTTTTGTGGCGAAAAATGACGTAAACTGGTGTCGTCCACAAATATAACTATGTCTGTTTGTTTGTTTGTGTAGTCGTTTATAATTTGGAATATAGAAAACACTTATTTTAACAGTGACAACAGATGAACGCCAAAGCAACGCCGTAGACGGCTTTTTTTCACCCCACTACAGTACGTCACAGAGGCGCTGCGTCACAGATGCGCGACTTGTCGCAAAGATGTACATGTACATAGAGTTTCATTTTCGTAAATTCGCTGACAGATTGATGCGCTAAATTAAAACCCAGTAAATATTCAAATTAAACAATATAATGTATTATTTCCTCTACAAACTAGTGAATTTTAAACTCAGTGAATACCTCTGCAACCTCAAGTCCACTTAAATTTTAAACAGTAAATATTCTCGGTGTTTTATACTTGTGGTATTGAATACGACTTTATCCTGACAGGTAAAACGATTATTAAGCTTCCAGGGTCCAAACTAAGTACCACAACGGATGACCCTAACACAGGGCCTCTCCGAAAAGGTGAAAGACTATCTCGTTATTAACACATTGTGTTCTACTTACGATTTGAGGCTTGACGATATGGTGCAGGACCCTGAATGCATATTCAAAGTCATAAAACACATATTTATATAGGCCATGGTTGTACTGGACAGCTTGAATAAACTAGACTTTATATAAATTTGATTAAAATAAGCTCCTAATTTGGGCTCTATTTATTTTTTTATATACTTTATTTGATTTATTATTTATTAGCTGTCAGTTTTTTTTAGTTTTTTTAATATTAATGAAAAATAATGAAAAAAAATATAGTACTAATAAATATAATATATATAATACACGCCGTACAATACATCAGATGTTAGTCATCATAGTAGACTCGAACCTCAATCGGAAAACAACGGATGACACCGTCACAATCGTCTTATTGCGTACATACCATATTCCAGTGGGTAGAAAATATTAAGGTACACGTGGCGAAAAAAAATATAATGAACTCCCCTCTCCCATGCACATCATTACGTGACGTTGTCTGGGTGCGCGAGACGAGGCTTGGTGAAAGATTGGTCGCCACCACGTTAAATCATTAATAAGTTATTCACAGATTATATATATCCTTACACATTTACAATTATTTGATGGACACGGTAATACAAGTAATTCGGTAAAATACGCTAGCCTTAGGTATTAAATAGCAGGGCAAATATATCAACTAAAGTCCAATTACTATTAAATCCACGTGTGCTGAGAAGAAATGTGGATAGATGAATACGCGATAATAATAGCAAATAGTCTTCGCAGTGGCGTAATGTCTAATGACGTTACTACTCCTGTGTATTGTCAGGGTGGAGTAATCTTCTTCAAGCAGTTCAACAAATTGTCACGGAAAAAATAACGATACTAATTTCACATGCTGTTGAATCAGATAGCTAAAAAGAGGCGTCCTGTTATCTTGTAGATTGTGCACTCGAGATATCGGGACACTAGACAATCATTATTATTCCTTATCCAAGCATCTTATCAGTGGACGCAATGACAGAGATAACGGCGATGCAATTTAATTCGAACGAATTTCGCACTCAGCCATCTGCGCTCGTTTAAGAAGAGCGCCACCAGCGATAGTAATCAGAAAATCCAATCGATATATTGAGGGCAGATGGAAGTCTACGTCCGTCATCGGTCGCTTATGCGGTTTCGTACTCGTCCATCCCACACTCAACGTATATGTGGAGGCAGAAAACAGGACAATTCCAACTAGATAATTCAAAATGACGTTGCGCATCTCAACCGAAATTAAGCACGACGCTTGGCACACAAATTATTCACTGGCAGAATCAAACAGTATATCGTTGTTATTGGAGCGCCGACGTCAATTAAAAATTGTTGCCATGAAATAATAATATACTTGGTTATTATTAAATATAATAATAAAATATAATACTCGTCAACTAATACATTTTTAATTTTCATTGAAATTAGTTCCACTTGAATACGTATACATACATACTGTTTGTTTATCGTGGGTCTGAAATGATACGTCGATAGCAGTGCGTGTTGGGTCAAAGTGCACACATCCTCGTTGTGTGACGTGCATACAATGTACACGTTGGCGTACATGTTTAGTTAGCATTTCTCAAAATCGTCGACGCAAACTACGACTGTGTAATAACCTGGCCACGATTGGCCGCGGAGCTGTTTCGACGAAGAGACTGCGGCCGACCTGTCTCTGATGATGCTTTTTGATACGATGTCAGCCCCGCAATAGAATCTTCGCGGAATGTGTTCGTGTAATGGTCTTGCCCATCATCTGCTTGTGTACGACTATCGCCACCGTTTATGTGGATGAGACGCCGTGTTGTTGTTTTTAGAGCGAGGAAAACACGACTTTAGAACAGATGAAACGAACCTATTTGAGTACGTCGTAGTGGATTTCCGGGTCTGCTACTTCGTGAGCGGACCCTATTAGCTAATTATCTTTGTGTGCCGCCTTGAAGAACTGTATATGGCACGTAGCTGTTATTTTTGTATTACCTGTTGTTGGGCTTTGATTGCAACGGTCTCTTCTATCCGTATCAGTACCAGTACCAACGGGAGACTGGCCTACAACTACCCGAACCCCCAGCTCAATCCCAGAGAGTGTGGCCGGATTGGTGTCCCCGTAAACACATCTTGGGTGTGCGACCCCGATGGTCTATTGAATTTCCAGCAAGGTATGTAAACGTCGAGCTTTAAATTTAAACCTGTTGAGCTCACCGGGACAGTATTTTTTATTTTTTTTTATTTAGTTGGCGTTATAATGTATTTGGCATTTTTAATTGCTTGTTTATTTATCATTCCTACGTGAAGAAACAAGTATCGTTTTTTTTTTTTATTTACATAATAGTAGAATTCTCAGGGAATTGTTGATACAGGTGGCGTACAATGAGGCGTGATCTCCCACATAGTGCTAACAAATTCAGTCGCATTAGATGCGCCATATGTCTATTTGCAACTCATTATTTCTAGTGGAGTCAATAATCGAGGCTGATATACGAAATGTTGGAGCCAAAATCGAGGAGGTATACAGACGAAAACTGAACACCACCGTTGATGAGAAACACTTGGATTAACTCATTCTGTTTTAATGATTATTTAACATCATATTTTCCGATTATAATTGCATTATAATATTCTGACCTACGAAGCAGTGAAAACATATTTGTCGTGGTATGTTGGGGATACAGTCAAGTCACATTCTGATCGTTTTACAGATGTTCTAAATATTACTGGTTTGTCGCTGTCTACGGTATATATATTGCATTGTTTCGTGCTTATTCGCGTACTTTCACCCAAACTGTGTGACATGACACACATAGCGGGTGGGGGAGATTCATTACATGGCCGTATATCATTCAGTTCAACTCCTAACTGTCATAAAAACGTGGTGTACGATACCAGCACGCCACGAGTGTGGCATGTTCAGACCGCCGTCGATAATTGAAGGCCAATTGCGCGCGATGTGTCACGTATGGATTTCCTTGTAATATCTGTCACTTAATTATTTCATAAGTTCTTCTCAATAATGCGCATGAATAATTGAATAAATCCGTTATAATTTAAGACTGGTACAAATAATATACTTTTTTCAATGGTGTTTATCAAACACGTCAGTGTTATAAATCATTAAATTCGGGCGTTTTTTTAACTATACCGTAAAGGCCAATTTGCTGTATACAGGTCGTTTTCACGCAGTGTATATTATACCCCTCGAGCAATGAAATAACGTGCCCGAGATATGAATTATGGGATATATATTTGTTAATATTTTACTCTTGAAATACATTAATGTTTACATGCATTATTAAAAAACAACATTACGAAACCATTTTCAACTTACCCTTGGCACATCCGTTCATGGCTTTGTGGTTTATTAACCACAGCAAACACAACTGTATCCCCATGTCTACGTGTCTACAGAATAGTTTGCGTTATTTCTTATCTGTATTGACTGATGTTCTTGATATTCTGAAATTAATGTGCTGATTCTTCCCAGTGTTATTGGGCGTGACGCATCACATATCAATGCAATTCGATACATATACAGCACGGTTATCGTACCGACGTGCCGGTTTATTCGCATACGTCACCTGTTTTTGCTCAGTCCATGCTATACATAGCAGGCTTATTTGCTCTGCTTCTCGGGAATTCTGCACTAACCGTCATCAGCGCCGTCACAGGAGATCGGGCAAATTATGGAAACTGTCGCCATTAAATGGCTTGATATATTTTGTGCAAGGCGGGGTTCATCACGGGTTTCACCTTTTGACTTGCTGTAAATATACGTAGGAGGAGATTTAAATTTCACCTCCCTCTGCCATAAACCAGTATCATCACGCACAGAAACAGTGCGTTTACCTGCTACGTTTATGTTTGAGCAGACGTCGGACTCGACTGGGATCGTTAGATGGGCGCACAATACTGTACTGACAAATAATGCTAGCTGTTGAATAGACAGTAGAAAAATTCTAATAATGAGGGAAAAATACAACGATGTCTCGTTTTAATAATCTCTCTAATCGAATATCCGCTAAGTATGCCTGCAAGGCGATTGTCGTCGTTGTGACGTCACCGACTCGCCATTCTGCAACTTGCATCAATGTGATGTTTCCCGCGATGATACAATATTTACCGAGTAATTAATCTATTAAAATTACCCAGACGTGTAGATTAGCCTTTATCCGAATCGAATAATCCAACCGCTATCTCAGCTGAGATCAATCGGACAAAGAACGCGTGTACATTCACATAGATTTAATCTCAACGCAAAATTGGTTTCTTTCTTAAAACTAAAAGACTGGTTCTTTTTTTACTATGACATTCACGAAGCAATCGATTTAGTTTCTTCATAAGGTCGATGGTTCCTCTAAAGCAACGTTTGTATAAATGGGAGATATCATTGTAATCGTGTGTATGCACATACGCCCATATCAGCACAGTTCCGTCCCTGTGACCCATGTGTGCAGAGCTGCAACCAGTCGCGATGATACGCCTGTTGTGTCGGTCCTTATATTCTATTCTGTTGACATATTGGTAATAAAGCACACGTGCATACTAGTATTGGATGATTAATTGAATCCCTAATATACTCTTCCCTCAGGGACGGACAAACTGCGGTAAAAGGCCTGGTCACTGCTATATGGCATGTCTTCAAAATAGCCCTTTACTGTTTTCATCGAAGATGTCCGTTTTAACCATGCCCCTCATCTTTAGCTCCGCTGTCGACTTTGTCGAGCGGAGCTTATCATATGAGTGATTGTCCGTCACGGTCGTCGTCCGTCGTTCTTGTCAATGTTTTACTTTTTCGACTTCTTCTTGAAAACTACAAGCCTGAATGTTTTGATACTGAGTGTATATGTACCTTGGGTAGACCTATCTCAGATTTGTTCATTTCATGATGATATTTTCAGTTCTCTAATTTTGGTGAATATTTTTGTCATTTTTGGTAAAAAGTGATATTTTCGACTTCTTGTTAAAAACTGCAAGTCCAATTGCTTTGATATTACATATATAGGTACTACATGTGGACCTTTTTCAGATTTGTTCATTTTGTAATGATATCTTTAATTTTCTAATTTTGGTGATTATTTTTGTCATTTTTTGGTAAAAAGTGATATTTTCGACTTCTTGTTAAAAACCACAATCATTTATGGTGAAAAATGATATTTTTGAATTCTTGTTGAAAACAGCAAGTCCCATTACTTTGATACTATACATATTGTTCATTTTCTAATTATATCTTCTGTTCTTTAATTGAAATGTGCATTGCTAACAGCGGAGCTATCTCAGCCGAGAGGCTGCTTGTTTTCGTATTGTAGCCTGAAACACTAGCCACTGCCTCTTAATTACACCATTCCCTGTCTATTAAATGGGGATGTTCAATTCCTTTCGTATTTTACGTCAACTTTGTACGAAATTAATCCCACCTTCAAAAAAAGACGAACGTGTTTTAGTTCATCTAGGGTAAACAAAATCTGCTATGTACATCCTAATTTAATTGCCAAAAGTTCATTGACTCGCAAGTCGGCGCCACCGCTATTCACTGACAATAAGCCAATCACACCGAATCTAGTCAATTAACCCTTGTCTGATTTCGCGGCCACGCCAATGTCTGTTTCACTTTTAATACATTAGTCATCATTGCTGAAACTGGGTTCATCCAAAACGCATATGTGCTTGCTATAGACTGTAAAAGCTGGTCGAGTCATCAAATTCTAATTTAGAATGTAATTCTAAATGGCCGGCGTACTAACGCATGTAGAAATGCATGTAGGACATATAATTCTATTTTATTCTATTCGATTGCACATATAAATTAAGAAAGATTGATAATGGATCTAATGAATGTATTCGCGTGAATGTTGTTAATTTGAGCATGCGCCTTACTAGCACGAATATGACGCATTTAAGGTTCAAACATGGAGGTTAATACCAGAACAAAAAGTTATAAAAGGAATTCTCCACCAACCTTCATCTCAGCAAAACCAAACATGGATGAGAGGCTTTCTAACGAATGTCACCAAAGTTCAGAAGTCGTAAAACATAACCCATGCACTTACTGTAAATAACGTTATAACAATAATACACATTACTAGTAATTATGTAACTTCTGTTAATTCAAGTAACTCTGGTGTTTGCAAACACGTCACATTGCATCATGAAATGTGATGATTGTGAATTGAATCAGCTGACAGGATAATTGCCGAGCATGTGATTTTCATTGGATCTTTATCGCGTTGCAGCACATTAGTGGCTTACAAACGTGACGATAACAATGGAAAGGTTCTAACAAAATAAGAGCTTTTCGAGAACATGCGATGTTATCACTTTTCGAGTATACTCGATCGAACAACGTGTCTATGAATGTTCTTTGAGTTTATTAACTTATTTTCTGTTTTCGCTTGTATATGATTTTTGCTGCGGGGAAACAACTACATGCACCCAAATTGTTATCATTTTATGACGTCATGGTAGTCTGTGATTGGAAACCCTCGACATGTATTCGGGAGAAATGCAACTATTGACACAATATGTCTGCTGACAGTAATTTCCGGTTTCGTAACCACCCGCTATCAAATCATAATATGATCTTTAAAACAAACAGAGACTATATATTTACTTATTGTCACATTCTATCACTTTGTATGATGCATTTACGTTTACGGGGGAGTCGTCACCTGCGCATGCGTCAGATGGCCATAGCGTGTCATTGTTTACAAACAAGCTTCTACCCATGAGCCTTTGCGTTTTAGCATGTGTTATCGTCACTTGGGACTCAATTCCCGCGCGTGCGCAGGTGACGACCCTCCCGCTTTAACATTTGTGTTATTTCGGCCGTGTACAGATGCCCATCTGTCTGTGTGAATGCGTCTTATTCCACCAAATACTTCGAAAAACAATGGGTGGATAGATTTGGATGCATGTTTGGTGCAAAGATACTTTATGATGAACCCCAGATATGACTAGATTAGATGAGATGGAGCAATTTGCATACTAATTAACTAATTTCGACATGTTTTGTTAATATCCTAATAGTAGTTTCCTCAAATGGGTTCAACTTTTACATAGATATTGTCCATGGTTGAATGTCTAATACTACTTAATAACAAATTTTCACATGTTAATTAGCTAGTTTGCATACTAATTAAAACATTTCAGAATTTTTTTTTTTAAT